GGGCAGTGAGGCTAGAGTGGCTTCTGGCTGCCAGCTCCGTGCTGCTGCCGGCATGCTCCTGTGGCCCCGGGGGAGGTGTGTGCAGAGCTATCTCATCCATAAGCTGCTGTGGTGAAGCGGAGAAAGCAGGCTGGCCTGGTAGGTGACGGCAGAACATTTCTCCGTGGCTCCCGTTGCCGTGGTGAGTGCAGGAGACCCGAACCCACGCCAGCCCCCGCCCCCAGCTATCCTGGAGGCCATGTCCCTTGTGGGAGGGGACTTGAGGGAAGGGTGCAATGGCAGGAGAGAGGCAGGTGGGACAGAGAAGGGGCTGACCTAAACTGGGCCCTCTTCCCTGGCCTTGGTTCTGTTTTCTATGGCATCTGAAAGAAGGTCAGTGACAAAGGAGAGCTGGGCCAGTGAGAACTTAGCCCCATCTTGGAAGGCGCCTTTCCGCTCCCACCTGCATGAAGACTCTCTGTGGCCCGGATTGATCTGTGAAGGGCTTTTCAAAGAGGCCCAGATCCGGGCGCAGCAGCCAGAGCAGGTGAACGCCACCGCGGTCATCTCCCCAGAGCAGCAAGGAGCGACCCCCTGAGGACTGGCAGGGAAACAGAAGCAGAAAGGAGGAGGGAGACCTTGGGATTCGCCTGGAGAAGCGGAGGATGTTCTCTGTCCGCTCCATCTGCCCCCGGTTAATAGCTGATGGAACATGCACTGAATTTAGTTGCGCTTGAGTCACTGCTGAAAACCCAGCTATGTCCCCGCTGGCCAAAGCCACGCCTCAAGTAGGGGGGCTGTGTGCACCTTGGGGATCCCTGCAAAGAGTTCTGACACAGCATACCCCTCCCCCCGGGTCCAAACACACCCATGCCATGCCCCAAACTCACTGCACGTGAGTTTGCCTGGATCTAGCAACTGAGGTTTGGATCCGGCCACTGAAGCTCAGTGCGCCCACCCGTGTGTGGGGAGTCTGCACTGGTCCTCCAGCCTCCCCAATGCCCCCCACGTGGAGCTGGAGCACACAATATCTACTAGCCTGCTCCCCCTCCTCCCCCCGCCAGGCTCTGGCGTGCACAGGGAATGTGGGGAGTGTTTTTCTCCTCAGTCAGGGGCACATCAGTGAGTGTTTGAGTTTTTTTTTTGCTTCTTGTGTGCAGCCCCTCACTGATTTTTCTGTGGCCCAGTGGCCCTCACCCAAAAGCGGTTCCCACCCCTGTCCTTCATAG